AAATCAATTTCTCGAGATAGGAACATCAGATAAAACTTTCATGGGTCGCGATCGAGAGCTAAAGTGATTAGCTTTCAGTCTATACCCCCTTTCATTTTTCCTTTACTGTCCCTTTAATGAAATTATGAATTATCAAAAAAATCAATCGAAACCCACATGAAACTCTAATCTGTTTTCTATACATACAGGGTTACCCACAAAGGCTAAGACTACAGAACCGAATGTACAATAATTTATATTGTCTTTCCCCTAAATTCGAAATTCCTTGTAACTGTAAACTTGAATAGTCAAATCAGTGAATAAGCCATTCAAAAGCAGAATACTTAATTTACCCCTAGAATTGTAATTTTTAAAAAGTTTCAGGTCGTCTTTACAGTCTCGTCCTTTGTGGGTTGACGAACAACGTGGGAATCTTGACTGTCTCCGATGAAAATTTTGGAGGTCTCCAGTGAAAATCTTGGGGATCTCCAATTATAATCTGGGGGTCTTCAATGAAAATTATGGAGTCTCCCAAAAAATATGGATGTCTCCAAAGAAGATGTGGGGTCCAATGAAAATATGGGGGTCTGTGACGAAATTCTGGGGTCTTGATGGAAAGCTGGGTGTCTTCAATGATAATCTGGGGGTCTCCATCGAAATACTGGGGTATCCAATGAAAAGTTTGGGGTCTCCGACGAAAATATGGGGTTTCCAATGAAAATATTGAGGTCTCCAATGAAAATCTGGGGTTCTCCAATGAAAATATGGGGGTCTCCAGAGAAAATCTGGAGTCTCTCATGAATTGATTTTAGTCTCCACCGAAAATCTGGGGTTTCAACGAAAATATGGGGGTTTCCAATGATAATCTGGTGGTCTCTAAGGAAAAGTTTGGGCTCTCCAACGAAATTGTCGTAGTGGTCGGTTTCTATAAGTAGAAACCGACCATTCCTCTAACGGTCGGTTTCAAGGGCTAGAAAGTGTTGGAGTTCCCCAACTGTTTAAAAGTATAAATCTTTAATTCTTAAAAATATCCATGTTCGTAGAAGAACCCGTAATGGCAAAGAACGTTTTTAAAATTACCCACCAGCCATGCTACAGCTCTGTACCAGCAATGTCTGCTTATAAACACTAAATTTAGAAGAAAAACTTTTTATAAATCACAATGTAATAATTGACAAGAAGTTTCTAGGCGGTTGTTTAAAGAAAGTTCCATGCCCCAGCCTTAATGGGACTAAGGATAAACCCCTGGCCCACGAAAGAAGAAAAGGAGGGATGAGTGTGTAAAGTTTAAAAGATACAACACTTCAAGACATTCATATAATGAGTATTAAACTACAAACTCGTACACTGCTTACAAATAACAGATGTATCTACCAAATATAAGAATTCTTTATTTTCCTGGATAATTTCGAACCAGGGTCTGTACTGGCAATTTATCTCATACTGTTTTACGACTGCTTACAGTTATTTTGAAGAGCCGAGTCAAAGGGATTGGTCAGCTCATAAAACAGAATATGTTTGATAGTATGTACATTGTACAGTCATAATCAGACTTCCCGGAAATAATTAAAATCTATTCAGACGAATTTACAAATATAATTAATGAAACAATAGTAACAAAATAGCCTGTCAGTTCCAAAATGTGGTCTGCTTTTATTTTGCGTTAAAAATTACTAGAGATATGATCATATATGTATATGTAAAGTAGTCTGATTAAATGTCAATTAATTCCGGGTCTTTCTGGTTAAGGGTCTAAATAAATAAAGGTTTACAAAAAAACTTTTTCCTGGGAATTATACTTTATATAGCTATAGTATTTATTTTCAAACACAAAATACAAAATAATAATGTATGATGGTTCAGCTTAAAATAAAACACGAAAGAAAATTTATTATGAGCCAATTGAAAATATAATGTTTGATATTTTTGTTTTGATCGTATTTCTTGAAACAAAGATATACATATTGAAATCTCAACGAAAGAAGCAAAGGGTGTGAATCCATTCTTGTTGACTGTAGTAGACTTTGACATCTACCATTAGCAAAGGGTGTGAACCCATTCTCGTTGATAGTAAAAAGGTTATATAAGTGTTGCGGCCCTATAGTCCTGAGTATACTCTGCAAGCTTTTTGCATGCTTTCTCTTAGAGAGAGGATGTGTTGACACCTCAACTACTTTCTACTAACACGAATAAATAGTTAAAGGAACAATTCCAATAATTTAAAAATAATATGTTTGTATTAATTATAATTTAATCTTCTTATTTTCAAGATAATTCAATCTTCAAGTTTTTGTAAGTTTTTTTCTTTCGTTTTTTTTAATTTGATATTTGTATCTAACTATTATAAAATGCAAAGATGCTTCATTGTAACAACACTTCCTTGTTCCCTCCACAGACTAAACAAATACCGAGAAATTTAAGTTCATTGTGTAAATCTAAAATATTTAAACGGTTATGGAGATTTCAGTGAAATAATATTTATCCATCCACTGAGTGCACGGATCAAGGAGTATGGAATTAAAGGGAGAAGTAATCGACCCGGCCCACCCTACCATATGATTATACATGCTTTGCATTTGTTTGATGTACAAACACTGCGTACATGTAATCAGAATAGGAGAAATTGCATTCATTTAACAGGAAAAAGTAGGCTGAATAACGCCAAACAAACACATTTTTACGGGATGCAAAAATATTGGCAATACAAACGTATTTTTTTACAATATAAAAATCGTTTTTTTCAAAGCATGTATAATGACATGGTATTCGGAAAATATACAGTGTATTTTTCTGCTTTTAACAACTTACACATTTTACTAACGATTTTTATGATTATCATTTTTAAGTATGTTTATTGTTCATAAAGTATACCAGGACTTTTTGACATTTTATTGGAATCATTTTGAAAATCTACTGGCTGTCAGTTGTGAGTAGAGCAAATTTACATTTTACTGTTAAATCATTCACAGGTTGATAACAAGTATTTCTAAAATATTCAAATTTATCACGAACCTACTGTAATCAAATATTTATGCAAAAAATGTGCAAAGCTACAAGTATGCCTATAAACCTATGTAGTATGTACATTGCCTTTCAGGGTGTATACAGAAGTCAATCGGGGGGGATGGGCTACATTATCTCGGCTCAGTTACATTTGCCATAATACTTTTACCATAAATACATTTGCCATAATTACACTTGCCATGATACGTTTGCCATAAGTAACTCTTGACATAAGTTACATTTGCCATAATTATAACTTATGTAACTACACTACAATTAACAAATCTAAAGGAGGGACAGCTCATGAGCAGTATATAAGGTTAAGCTACTGCTCTATTGGGAAAGTATTATATTGTCATTGATTCTTCACCAAGCTCTATCTTCCATTACTAGTCTTATATCTTTGTAAAAGTTAGAAAATTATGGCAAAATTAACTATGGCAAGTGCAACATATGGCAAGTGTTACTTATGGCAAAAGTATTTATGGGAAGTGTAATTATGGCAAATGTATTTTGGCAAGTGTAACTGAGCCCATTATCTCTCCTTCAAGCAAAACCAGCAGAAAAAAAACTTGTTTTTAAAAGATCTACATTTTATTTTATGTTCTGTTAGTATTTATACTAAAGAAAGTAAAATGAATTTAAAAAAAATAAAACTCTGGGGGGGGAATGCTCCCTCCAAACCCCCAATTTAGAACAGCAAACCAATTTTTTTTTATGTACTTCATTCTTAAGTTAACGATTTGAAAAGTGTGATAGCTCTGAGTTTTAGGGGGATGTGGCTTATAAGCCCCCCCCCCCATTCACAGGTCTAGGGGGAGGCACTGCCCCCTTTCCTTAACCCTTGATTACCTTAAATAAACATAAAACTTGTGTTTTAACATCTTTGAGAAACTATTTTTATTTCTAAGAATAACCTCTGACGTAAAGAATATGAAGGTTTTTGATTACTGTTTCTTTATTTATACACTCATGCTGCATCTTGTAATGACGCACAGTAATTCTGCGAATGCAAGCTCCTTCGGCATTTTGCCAATTACTCCTTTTAAGCTAAAACCAGGCACAATTGCTATATAGTTCTAAAATATAAATGTCTAGAGCTACAAAAAAGTATATGTGAGTTAGTGAGGTAAATTCCAAGGCGTTGTGACAATTTAAAGTTGACCCAGTCTTGAAAATTGACGCAACTTTTCATAGCAGTCAGTCATACATTATTATTTTTGAAAAACAAACAACTAGGTTTTACAATAAATTAAAATATTTTTTTTATAATAAGAACGAGATGACTTAAAGACTTTTTCTGCCACGTATGTACAATGAAGTTTAAAATGATGTTGTTCATTAGTTAATTTGAAAAGGACAATTAAATAAAATATTCTGTGTAATACCAGTGTAAACTTCAAAATCAATGAAATAATTAAAATAGGCATTCTTTAAATATAAAATAAATTGTTACAGGGCAAGCTGATTTAGCAATTTTATTGATTGTTGTCGCTTCCACGACAAAATAATCTAAATGTCAGGTTTGGATTAAATAATTGTCTAGACAAGAATAGAAAAGAGGACTTAAAGTTAACGTGAAGACGAAAAGTTAAATTTCTGACGAAATTATATTTATATCTTAACAGAATTAATAGTTCTCAGACTCTATATAAGTATATTGGCTTGTCTGTCTGTCTGTCTGTTTGTTTGTATCCAATAAACGTCAAAACGGCTGAACCGATCGGGCCCAAATTTTTCGTGGGACATCAGGTGACCACAGGGAAGGTTTATGAATGATCAAAATTTCAAATATTTGTCTCCATCAAAATTCGATCTTCATTAATTTTTTGAAAATTTTCAAAATCCGCGAATTTTTTTGTGAAAATCTCCCCCCCATGTTACGATGTTGTGTATACAGAATTCGTCAAGTTGAAGATGTTTTGGGTTTGATGGTAGCATCGTCTGAAACAGCTGATATTGGTGTTCGAGCCTGTACAAGAACCCATCTCAGTGCGTCAGTACAAGGTCAGCCTGGCTGCAGCTGCAGTGTCGTCACGTGTGAGTATATAAGCCAAGTTTTCCCGGTGAATCTTCTCAGTTGCTCTCTAGTCTTCAACATGAAAACACACTGGGTAGGCTGTGACATATACAATAATGGAAAATAACGAAGTTTAAGTACATCAGTTTCCATCATAATAAAAACCCAAAATGAATGTGATATCAATTGTTGCATCTTGATCTTGCATCACAAAAACTAAATGTTTCCAAAAATAATACACAAAGACAAACATTTTTTAATTGATTTAAAAAACTTTAAATTTGGTTTATAGTATTGACTTGACTCCTTAAAACGATGAAAATGAAGGAATTGGTTGATAATAAAAGCAACCAATTTATTAATTGTTGACATGATATGTTAATGTTTTGTCGCTCTGGATTTTTTCTTTATTTTTCGGCTTTTGTTTTCGAGATACTTTTTTGTTTTTGGCGTAAATTTTACATTTGACCTAGTTAGACTCTGATGGGCACGCTAAACTATTCTTTTTTTTCAATTTTTCTGAAAATGATTTATTGAATTCACTCTAGTATTTATTCATCCATAAATTTGTGAGTTGTGAATGGCTTTTTTGTCTAAGGGTTTTGAAATTATCGAATAAATATGATCTTCAACCCTATTTTTTTGTCAAGATTCTCTGAATAGTGGAATTTGAAACTATGATTTTCTAATCTTTACGTCCTTGCAACCTGATGTCAAAGATCTTCGATATTTTAAACTAGGATTTCTGTTATTTTAAACAAACCAATTTGAGTTTGGGGCAAAGACTCAATTCCTCAAGTATTAGATTCAAATGCAGGAAGTGTCTTTGTATAGGACCAGTTTCCTAAAAACTGTGAATTCACAAATGTATTGTCAAAGATTATGAACAGGCTAGCTTGCCGGACAGAGTCTAAGTGAATGAAATTTAAATCAAATCTAGATGTATATATATATAACAGATACTTGGAATAATGAGTTTCATGAAAACATTATACATTAATAAGCAATATTTATTATTTAAAAAATCAAAGTAAAATATGTGTATTAATGTTGACGAGGTCACAGCTTTGTGACTTTGGTACTCCACATTCAGAGGTCTTAAATTCACGTATGCAGTTTTTTTATAAACCGTTTATAGATGGTGCCTTCTAATTTTATGAAAAAGTGGCCAAATAAATACAAATGGACTGACCCCAGCAAAAATATACAATCTGAAGGTTTGGCAAATTAAACCCTTATCCTCCTCTTTCCAGTTTGTGCGTGTATTTCTTTCTCAAGTTCTTTTTATTCTTCTGTCCTTGAGATAAGTTTTGGATTTATAGTGTTTCAAATTGGTAGAACAAACAAACCATTAATGTTGCCAAGTATTAGAATATGGTTTACTGCTTATTGAAATTCTCAAAAAAGGGTTTAATCTTATTAACTTATCAATAAGGCAACGGGTAGTGGGGTACAAGTATTAAACGATTTAGTAACGATTGGGAACATGGAAGTTATTCTAGGTTCTACTTTTATTTCCGTAATTTTAGATTGAGCTAAAACTTGTTTTTTTTTACGTCTAAATTTAAAATACGAACTTGAGCAACGCATTCACAACAATTATATAAAATTAGATTTGAATCGGCCAAACCAAAGTATCAGGCAATCTTGCTAACACATCCCTATAAACCATCTATCGCATTCCGCTAATTTGGGTTCTTTCTGATATACATGTCATCATTCCGTCTACGGGAAGCGTAAAGATGATTACTTCCGTATATGTGGGTCACATGACACAGGATACTACAATACAAAACTTGGTTATGTCACGTTCTCGTACTGTCAAATAACAACTACATCTATTATTATTATTTTTGTCATTATCATTATTGTCTTTATTATAAATATTATAACAATTATTTTAATTGTTGATTATTATGATACTAATTATTATTATCATTATTTTTAGTAAAATTGGTTTTTAAAAATTTTGGTATTATTGTAATTTCTTTTGATTCTCAACATCACTTTGATTTTTGGAATGATGCATTATTTCAAATTGAACAATGTTCAAATATAGGACCGTTTGTAATATTCTTTAAAGACGACAACAAAACCTGATAAAGGAATTGAGTCTTTGCCACAAACTCTGATTTTCTAATCTCTATATCTTTTCAACCCAATGTCGTAAACCTTATATATTTCAAACTATGAATTCTTCTAGATAAAAAACCTAAGTTTTAGATATCAAAGGTTTTTGCCCTCAAGTTAACAAGATATAGGGATGGGAAAAATCCGAGTTTGTGGCAAAGACTCAATTCCTTTGTATTTTATATTTTAAATTCTTTCAACTTCAGCAGTCTTGAGCAAATCTTGCTCAGTTATTATAGTTACCAATTACAGATATAAAATGAAGTCAAACTTTATATAAACTTTAATTTATATTCTATTTGTACATTTTTCATGCTTGAATCATCATTTCGGTTTAACAAAAACAGATTTCAGTTAACCTTTGATAAGTGTAAAGAATAATACTCAAGATTACTCGATGAGTTAATGCAAAATTTTAATAACACCATGAACAAAACCCTGAATACCCAATATTTGACTAGTGTAAACCACATGATTATTTAATTGAACGTTACACCTGAAAAAGCTTTAACAAAAGCTTTAAAATGCCAAAGTTTTTATTCTTCTTTTTTTTTAGTTGATATGTTCTGTGCTGCTTGGTAGTGGGTTTGCGGATTTTGTAGGACACTCCCGTGGGCAGGAAGCTCGTTCAGGTCGTCAGGAAACGGCTATACAGGGCGGAATTGATTTTTCTGGGTGTGTTCAGGACTCTGAAACAGGACTTTGTTGTGTGGAGAAGGAAGAGACAGTGACCAGCCTGGAGAAGGAGCCTATTCTAGAGTGTACACACAAGAACGTGGAGCAATGTCATTACAGTTACGTCACCCAGTTCACACCATCTCAGGAGGAGGTGTGCGAAGAGAATTTCGAGAAAACCTGTCAGATTACCTTTAAACAACAGGCCTTTAACGAGACTGTAAAGAAGTGCTACAAGCCTGTCACAAAGGTTTGTAATGGACAGGGTCCCGAGGAATGTAGAACAGTTTATGAGTCTGCCTGTACAACAAAGTATGTTGAGAAGCAACCCGGTAAGTTTGTTGGAGACACTAGCTGTGAGAAGCTTCCTGTTGAGATCTGTGGTGCAGGATGCACATTTGAAGAAGGAGATGAGGAGTGCCACGACAAGGTAATTACCTCTTTGGTTGATGTACCCGAAGAAGTGTGTGACCTCAACCCTCAGAAAGTTTGTAAGTTTATTACCAAGCTTGTTCCAAAACTCAAACCTGAACACCAATGCACCCTTGTTCCCAAGGAAACTTGCACTCTAAAGTTTACTCAGCCTAAGCAGATTCCCAAACCTCTTCTGACAAAATGGTGTCTGGACCCCACTCCTGCTGCACCCGGAGATTCTTACGATGAGTCCCAGGCGGATGCTCCCGTTATAAGCACTGCATCAGAAACCTTATCCCAACCCTCTGAACAGCAACCAATTTATGAGGCTGAACCTGTAATCAAACCAGATGTTGGCTATTTATCCCCAGGTTCCCCTCGTCAGGGAAGGAATCAGGATTTCCAGGGAGATCTTCCATTCAATTCGCCCTTCATTCCTCAACAGCAGCAGTTCAGACAAAACAGTTTCAGCACTCAATTCTAATTAGATGTCATCATTGCAGAAAACTTTGAAAACCCAGTTCAAAACTCTCTATTTATTTATTTATTTATCTAGTCAACTCAGTATTACTTACTGTGTTATTTACACAAACTTATTTATCAATTTAATAAATGGTGTATCTTTTATCTTTTTATTTCGTTAATAATAATTACAATTATTATAATTACATAATTTTATTGCCACTGTGACCGTTAACTAGCCGAAAATATAAAAAAAATTGTACAATGTCAAATATGAAGTAAAAAGTTCTCATTGTCAAGCTATACGTTTTAACCATTTGGCGCACGTTATTAAGCTCTCATTATATCATGCTATGAATTATGAGTTCTGATGGTCTCTCCATGCTTGCATGATATAATATTTTTTTGCATTTAACTTTTGAAAAAGATTCCATACATAGGCGTAGATAGGGGGGATTATTAGGGGTAACTACTTAAATAAATTTCAAGTGCGGGTAAACGGCTGGCGTAAATATGAGTACCGTAGGCAATGCTCAATTCCCAGACTAGTAGAATATAAATTAAGAAAGTTGAATTGCTACTTTGAATAAATCAAGGTTTTGGTGTGCTGCTGACGTCCCTGAATCTTTTCTATGTCGCTGTGCATTCTTGTGCTTATGCTGTAAAATATGTTTTTCCCCGAAATAGTTCTCTGTAACAAAGACGACATCTAAATATATTATGGGTTAAAATCGCGCGAAATTTTTTTTTAATTTATCAGCCCCCCTATAGAAATCCTTAGCTCAGCCCCTGGCTCGACATAATGAGATTTTCAGCACATTTTTAAGACAATCTGCAGCTGCCAACTCCAACTTACTTTTCACGACGACTTTTATAAAAATGTTTGAGCCTTTAATTTTACAGAACATATCGTATTAATTGAATATTGGTTTATTTTTAGGTAAAATAAAACCTATCTTTAATTTTACAGAACATATCGTATTAATTGAATATTGGTTTATTTTTAGGTAAAATAAAACCAATCTTTAATTTTACAGAACATATCGTATTAATTGAATATTGGTTTATGTTTAGGTAAAATAAAACCTATCTTTAATTTTCCTTGTGTAAAGGTTAATAGTTTAGATGTAAATATGTCTTGTATTTACTGTGCACTTGCCTAGAGGGCATAACTGTTGATATACAAGGAAGAATATTATTAACATAATTCAGTCCTATTCCTAATGTACATAAGCCTTCCCCTTCAAGCATCATCTTCATTTAGATATGAACATTCTCTACAGAATGCAAGTTTTAGATCTTCCTATTCATTTTTAATGAAACCATCGATAACCAATGGTAGCCTTATATGGTATGGTTTCTGGTCTAATTCATTTTACATGGCAATAGTTTTTAAACAGGGCTAACATACGGAGTTACCACTATAAAGATGACCTGGAAACGCTTTTCATGACGACTCCAAGATTAAAATTTGGCTCTGACTTAAATTTGTATGTCTTTTTATGTGACCTTTTAATGTAGGGAATCATAAATATAAGGACACTAAAGATAGTCCTAATAGATAATGAAAATGTGACAAGAATTTATCCAAATAGTGTGTTATACGCTAAGTACACTTGTATTTGACACCATTGGCTTTAGTGTTGGTTTTGAATTCAACTCAAGCAATCAACATTTGAATTCTAGTTATCAAATAAAATGATCATTTGTACGCGCTACAAGTGGTAGGAAATTAACAATAAGGGGTTAAAAAAAACTTTTGTCCTACTATTTCCGCACTGTATAAGAAACGCATTTTGACGTGAGCGTGTCAAATAAAAAAGTTTTCCTTACATCGAGCAATCATTTCGATGCAATAAATTCCGTCAATTGCGATTAAACTAAAAAAAAGTATTGCAAGATGACCGAATGCATTGCGAACTGACGCAAATTCTGTTTGAATAATATCACATTTAAAGTTTTAGAGCATACTCTAAAAAATCTAAAAAGTTGTTGAACCAATCTAACAAGTGTTAATACCAATTTAAAAAAGTTTTAAAGATTCAAATTTCAATGCATTTTTTATTGCTTACTTATTGCACCTTTATTAGATGTTACTATTTATTAAAAAAAACATGAAAGAACCATTGGAAAAGCATGTTTTTTTTACCCTTAACTTTCTTATTATTTTTAAAAAATTGCTATTTGTGTTTTGATGACTAAATTGAAAATTTTATTAGCGACCTTTTTATACTCGTCATTAGAGCATTTTGGAGATTTTTATTTTATTTATTTTTGTGGGTTAAAAAAAGTGAATTAAAAACTAGGTTTAAGTTAAACAATTGTTCTAGAAAGTTAATTTAAATAAAAGCTCGGCTTTTTTATATCACTTTTAAAAAAGAACAACCTTAAAACAGATTAAACAAGTGTTTTTTTCATAAAGGTGACCGTATCCCTTCAAGATGTAATTAGATTAATTAGATCGATCTATATTTATATTTACATACAAGTAAATTAACTTTTTACAAGCACAATATCAATCCCATGTAATTTGCTCATTTCCCCTCCTGCGCCTACTCGCCATTATAAAAGTCGAATTTAGTGTTCTTAGGGGTAAAGGATTCTGGTAATAGAACTCCAAGATCAGTCACCTGAACATTATTTTTCATATATCATAAGAAAGACCAATTATTTTCTGTGTTTGAAAGAAAATATGTATAAGTATGAATAGGAGTTTAAGTTGACAAATTTTTTTTTTGTGTTTAAAAAAAAATCTGGAAAATAAGAATAAATAAAAGTTTGAATTGACCAAGTTTTTACATTCTAAACCTTCTTCAAAAACTAAATTAGAACACACTTTATAAATATGTAAATATTTTCAATTATTTGAATTTACGAGATTAAAGATTAAATGAATAGAATTAGAATCCTGAAAGGGATTGACTGGCTAGGTATGATAGTTTGGTAATGAGAGTGCATTGAAAAGAAAAATTAGGTTTGTGCGTTTTATAATTGCTACCTAAAACAGAAAGCTCGTTCTTAAAAAATCACGGTTCTGGATATTTTTGGAGGTTTGCTGCTGATAAGATTCGATTTTAATTTTAAATTTATAACCTACACGAAAGCGAAACAAAAAAAAATTTTATATACAATTTACGGTTTAGTTACATTTTTGTCAAAAGAAATAATCGATAAAATTAATAATCAATAAAATTAATGTAGAATCGATTATTTCTTTCTCTTCATTTATAAAGGAATTGAGTTTTTGTCACAAACTCAAATCTTCTGATCCCAATATCTTTGCAAACTGATGGTGCAAACCTTTAATATTTCAAACTTAGATTATTTTATCTTTAAGTATTAATAGTTTGAAATATCTAAGGTCTACGACATTGGGTTACAAACATATAGAGATTAGAAAATCAGAGTTTGTGGCATAAACTCAACTCCTTTATTCGCAGATTTCTTAAAATTTCCACAAAGGTCATCTTCGCATGAACTTCAGAAAAATCTATGGGAAACGTTTTGGAATCATTAATATTAAAGAAACAGATGACTGAACAAAGGAATTGAGTCTTTGCCACAAACTCTGATTTCTAATCCCTATATCTTTGGATTCCAACGTCGTAAACCTTTGACATTTCAAACTATGACTTTTGCTAGATAAAATAATATAAGTTTGAAATATCAAAGGTTTACGACATTGGGTTCCAAAGATATTGGGATTAGAAAATCAGAGTTTGTGGCAAAAACTCAAGTCCTTTACATATTTTCTTAACCTGTTTCTAAACTTTTGTCCATTTTATTAAATAATTTCAAAAAATCTAATCTTGAGAGCAAACTCCATCCTCGGGACTTTTAAAGATTGAGTTTTGGGTTTTTTATAGAAATTATAAAACGTTTTAATCTAGACATTTGAGCCACTAACTCCCTTTCAGATGTTTTACTCGACAGCTTCTTAATCTTAAAGTATTCAAATTTCTGTGCCAAAACTAACTGAAATAATAATTTTGCTAAAAATTGTTAAAAATGTTGATTTGAATTGATGAAATTATTACCTTTACTTTCCGATCTACTCGTACTAAAAATATTGGAAGAGTAGGGTTAAATTCAGCCATAAACTGCCTAAAATGTGAAAAATCTCAAGAATAGATACACAGAAAATAGATATATAAACAAAAGAGACATCAAGAACATTTAAACTCAAGTTATAAAATAAAATATTAATTTGTACGTGCTAAAATTGGTTGAAGGTTAACGAGCAGTGAGTCTCTCCAACAAACCCTTTTTTTTTTAATCTCTATATCTTTGCAACCCAATGTCGTAAATCTTAGATATTTCAAGCTTTGAATTATATTAAATCAGATAATCTAACTATAAAATATCAAGGGTTTCCACCATCAGGTTGCAGAGATATAACGATAAGAAAATTTGATTTTGTGGCAAGACTCAATTCAATTGTTTACGTAACTCAACAGTTCGAAAACTAATTTCTTTTATGAACAAAGTTTTGGTGAGAGATAAAAACTTTTGAGTTAGCGTAGATTTCGTAGATAAATGTATGTATGTGCTATACATACGCAAAAAGTACCGGCAAACTTAATTAATTGTCTAGCAATTATATATAGCATGGTGTTTAATTTGTTAGAGTCGGTAGTTGAGATATCGCTGATAAAAGCATATCATGGAAAATATATCGTTCAATGGTTTAGGGGTAGAATGTTTTCCCTCCCGAAACAAATGCAAGTGTGCCACATTTCAGATTTTAGAGAATATTTTTACAAAAATAAAACTTTTTATGTTTTGGAAACTCGGTATGTGCAGTGCCAGTGAACAGTAAAAGGTAAAAGGTAAAATTTTCTTATTTTTAAAGCGCAGTTATAAAAAAATGTAAACGGTATAAAATGCAAGCTAAAATGCGTACCTACAGGCTCCACAGGGACCAACGAATTCATTCTGTATATCCGCTGCTATTGCTATTCCCTTGAATTCTTTCCGACCCTCTGACACAGCCTAGGATGTTTTACTATTCATTTTTTATTTCTCATTTAAACCGTAGTATAAAGATGGAGTTCATTCTGTTTTTATCATTGCAAAACTTTATTAATTTTTTATTAAAATTTAATGTGTTATATTTACCTTTACCAGGGCAGTTCTTTCTGCACAAATAGATAGCCCATAAGAAGCATTCTCTATGTTACATCCTGAAAAAATTGATATGATATTTTTTTCATTTATTTCTAACTTTTCGAAATTGAAAAAACTTAAAACCAAGTGAAACTCACATTATCGAATGCAAATTTCAACTGAAGTCTGATACACACATATATATACACATATATACTATCAAAATGCTTTCACGATGAAATTATTTTACCTGTAACAACAATTCCATCGGAACATAAGATGGCAGCACCGACCTGGTTAAAATAACTCAAGAATATAAAGTATTAGAAAAAAGCTCCCTATTTAGCTGTTTTAATTTTAGAAACCGATTCAATCATTATTATTAGTTATTGTCCATTTTAAGTTTAAGGCACAGGCATCGAATTGTCTGTTTTTTTGTAAAAAAAAAACTTATTTCAGTTAAACATAAGAAAATATATAATTTATATTACCTTGAACTTACTGTAAGGTGAATAAGACATTTGTCTTGCAGTTAGACTAGCCTCGCAGATTTTCTGAACGATTCAGAAAATTTGTATTAATTTTAGCTGTGAGAGGAAGAAATCATCATCATTTGAGTACTATCGGAGACCCCCATGATCATCTCATCGGAGTTCTGTCAGATTTTCATCGGAGAGCTCCGGATTTTAAAGATCCCCTGATTTTCATAGGAGCATCAGAGACCCCAAATTTTCTATGGAGATCCTCAGATTTTCTTTGAAGACCCCGAAATTTTTATTGGACAACCCAAGATTTTAATCGAAGACCCCAAGATTTTCCTCGAAGACTCCAAACTTTTCATCGGGAATCCCATATTTTCATCGGAGACCCCAAACAACCTCCAATTTTCATTTTTTCTCTAACAAAAATCTGGGGTCGGTCTTCAAAGAAAATTTGTGGTTTAAAACGAAAAGTTTGGGGTTTCAAATGAAAAGATTGGGGTCTTCGACAAAAATGTTGGGGTCTCCAATGAAAAGCTTGGGTCTCCAATGAAAATCTGGGGTCTTAGATAAAAAGCTTGGGGTCTCCGACAAAAAATCCGGGGGTCTCCAAGTCCAATGATGATGATCTCCTACCAGACTCCTGATGAGGAGTTGTTTTGCACAAATGTTCGTTCAAGTCTTAATGATATTCATAAATAAGGCTCTTTCCTACGCAACTATTTAAATAAAGAAATTTTATTCATTATCATCTAATTCACACCTGAATTTCATCTTCCATATCTGAAATATGTAGAACCGCCATTTTTTTATGTTTAAAACTGAAAATCTGAAACAAATTTGCTTTACAATTAATATTGTATTTATTGAAAGGAAAAAAATAATTTTGTCACAATTTTCCTTTCTTTAACTGTCTTCTGTTTTATCATTTAAAATTGAAAGCAGCACAGTAAACTCGAAATAAGAAGTTATCGATCAATCAGAAGGACAGAATTACACTTTCACAAATAAACATTTATTGTTTTTCTTAAAAGGAGAGACCGGCTAAGTATCATGAAAAATTGTAGGATACGGTGTATAATTTCTAAGTGAGAGCCAAAAAGATTATATGTTCTCCAAGATTAAATAGAAAAGTGTAAAAACAGAAAATAAAGAACACATGAAATTTCACTTATTTTACTGTAGTCTAAAATTATCACTATTAGTTTTGTCGGACAAAAAAACTGAGTTGACACTTGTGACGTAAGAATCCAGCTGTAATAAGAGTGTTAAAATTCTACGTTGCCATCTATTGTACTAGAATCTATTTAAGCGAGAGCATAAATCTATCTTCATAAAATCCAACAAAATTTCTACAGTAAACTTTGTTGTTTAGGAACATCTCAATAGAAATTTGTGTCGTCATTATATCGAAATATTTGTCTTTTAAAAATATGATTGCAACTCCCTGGAATCTACGGAAAACATTTGTAAATAATCAAACATTACAGAAATCGATAACGGAACAAGATGATAAAAGATAATTCTATTTTCTCAACCTGTTTCTGAACAACAAATTATTGCTACATTTTTCGTACGGGTCTTCGGACCATCCCTTTTGGAGAAATTTTACAGAATATTTTACGCTCTTATTTAGAAATTATACACCGCAAAAACATCTCACTGTCAATAAATGAATTCTACAATTTTTCTCTATAATACTCCACTATCAGTTCACATATGCTACCTAGCAGGACTCTCCCTTTAAAAAAATCAAAATAGTCGATACTTTTTGTTAACAGAGCACAGATCTAAAATTTACTATGTACTTTTTGACCTTTTCTTGGCACCCCAACCATCAAAATAAGAGGTATGATTTTTTCATGTACTGACCTTTAAAAATTGCACTAGGGACATGTATTTCTCAACTCTAAGGGAAAAATCACACTACATTTACATTAGACAAACATAGCCCAATCAGGAGGGTTAAATATTCTATTTGTATTATCCTCACAAAACGTTCAAGGCACAGTGCGCGGATTTTAAGCAATAATATTGAGAAATTTTTAGCGATTGAAAATTTAAGAAGGAGAGTTGTTTTCTGAAAAAAGAAAATACTATGCATTGTCAAAGTTTAATAACTTTCTTTTCCTAATTCTATCCGTCGTAAAGATTTTATCTCATTTATAATTTAAAATTGAATAAAATAAATTTTCACTAGTTTCAGAAAATCTTATTTATTTTTGCTGCGTTGGTCATGAATGATCAATTCGATTGTAAGACTCTGACACTTTGATAAAACTGGTTTTTTTATATTCTTCTACATATCCTTTAGCTTCATGATTATGGTTTATGGCAAAAAATAAAGTCCGCCACTTTGCATTGTAAACTTAACGCAAGAAATATTTGGTAATACGATATGAGATGAGACCAAACTAATAGGATTAAATATCGAAGGTTTGTTATCACGATCTAGACCAAGGCTTATCAAGATAATTCTGTAAACACTGTTCAAATTTCAAGGAAAAATTTAGAGCGTCCCATTTGATATTGGATCATCTCCAAAATACGCGTACAGAATACTCTAAGATTATATTTGCACGAGTTAATCCAAGTTTGGCCTAAAACTAGTTAGCCAGGACTAAATGAAGGACTAAAAAAGAAGGGAAAAATTTGTAGGTCACTAAGGATGAAAAAAGGTTATTTATGATACTTGGAAAAAATTACAATCAAGAACATTATTCTGATCTTTGAGTAAATCTCAAATATCTTAATAGCTTACGAAGCGATTCAGCTTCAGTATAAACTATTTAAAATCTTTGGACTTTTTAAAGATTATCGTTCAATGTATAAGGCTGGACTGTTGATACGACTGCTAATACACCATAACATTAGCTATTGCGAAAATTAAAATTATTATTAGGCATAACATTATATTTTTCGATTAAACAATTAAAAAGTTTAGCTTATTTTAAACCTTGAGATCGGTATAATGAGTATGCATATCAAATGAGTATGGCAAGGACATTTACCATCAAGAGAATTTGGTCATTTTTATGACTAAAACTTGAGCAGCCTGGGGGGGGGGTGGAAGGTGAAAAATGTGTTCGCAAGATTTAGATTGTTACAAAAAACGTTTATTTTGAGAAAAAAAGTGGCACCTCTCTTATACTCTATTCTTAAACATCAAAATTTAAGGGCTAGAAAGCTGCTCTCTTTTCTTGCGCTCTTAATTTTCCCGGGGGGGGCATCCCCCCTTCCCCCCCATAAGCCGCCTCTGAGAGCATTTTTAAAAGTCAAATTTACTTTTAACTATCTAATTTCAATGTATGTATGTTATGTACTATGTATAATGTATATAAAGTTCAGTTGCAGTAGATAATCCAGTTGTTTATGGCTTAGAAACCTTTGAACTACTGCAGGTAGCATCTTTGTAACACCACCATCCCCCCCACTTCCCCTTCTCTACTTGAAAATCCAGTATTTTATCTGATATTCAACAAAAGAAAAGAAAACAACTCAAGCCATTACATTTCTTAACCATCGATCTTAAATAAAAAAGAAGAAAAAATCGTCCGATTTGTTAAAATTATGGATTGTGAATTTTTTTGGAAACACTTGTTTGGCATAGTGAGGCTGAACAAATCAAATTGAAAAGCTTAAAAATTGTTAAAAAATGAAAACGTTTTATAAAAACATTTCTGGCTAACGGGTCCAATAATGAAAATTTCGATCAAAAAATTAAATTTTCCGAACTGTCTTGAAACATCTGCTTAAAACATCTCCGAGTACCTCTCAACAACGCCTGAATTTTGATTTGATTGTTTCATTTGTAACAAACCTCAAAAAACGAATACCATGCAAGAAACAAGAATTTTTTTAACAACCAGGGCACATATATTTAAAATATCTGGGTATTGGTTTTTTTGTATCCAATAAATTAATACGACTGAACTAATCTGACCAAAAATATCTGAGGTAACTCAAATGAACCATTGTTTCCTAGAAAAGTATATGAGAAATATGATTTCCACATTACATGTATGAGTTGGATTGAAGACATTTTTTTGGTTTAACAAATATATTTCACTTATGATGGACAGCGAAGATCTTTTTGGTGCCGTTTAATGTCCACCTCCTAGACATCAATGTTGGTAGCCCCTAAGCAAGATAAAAGGAGAAAAATTTATAAGAGTAAATATCAAATTTTTTTGTAAATCTTATGGTTAAAATTGTGTTTTGCGTATTGTGCTTAAGTTATACTGTGATTGGATTCAGACTTTTGATTATTTTTTAAATATAGATAATTGTGTTTATAATTCCTTTAAAACTTCTTTACAATTAAATGCATTTTTTATAGCCCCGGCTGAACAAAGATTCAGATCCCCCTTTTTCATGGTTAAAAGCATTGAAAATTACAAACAAAGTCACTAAATAACTTAAACTAGAGATGTCAACGATAATGTAACGTAACGTAGTACGTCTTTTGTACCTTACATTACAATAATAGAAAACGTCTGAATATGTTCTATATTACGTGATCGTTAAACGTTAACGTTATAAAAATTTATACCTAACGTTAACGTTTTACAGTATCGTTAGGCTGGGCGTTACAATTATCAACATCATAACGTAGCAATACAACTTGTTTCGTCATAGCGTAGGGAAACGTTTTGTTTCAATGGAAAACATAGAATTAAAAAACGGCATGAATATCAATTCTAATTTGATTGCCAATAGTAACGAACGCATTTTGAAGTTTAAGGTTTAAAAGTTTAACGATGAAAAACTGAAAATCATGTTCCAATTGTGATAAAGTTTAACTCACAAATAAAGATGCAATCATGAAAACATTTTAAAACTCTTCTCTGAATACTGAATTCATTTGTTTACCATGTTACTGAAAAAAAGTTCTGTAAATGAAAACGTTCAACATCTTTTCTCTGGTTATTAAGTTGATTATGATTTTAATTGATTGATTATAACTGAGTACGTGAGGTAACATAAAAGGCCAAAGCGATGCGACACTTCAAAGACGAGCCAGTCTAAAAATTGATGCAAATATTGATTGTAGCCTAGATTTCTGTGCGTTAAATATATGGCTGAAAACAAATTTTAATATTGTAATGTAAAACAACTAAAAATGGAATTCTGTCAGTAAAAAATACGTCTCTTTATGATCTCATCTCATTTATTACTTTACTTAACAATTTAGTTGAGATTGACAGTAGTGTGACATCTTATGTGTTTTTAATCATAACTTCTCCTATTGAAGAGCTATATTAATTTTTCTTGCTTTTTTAGGAAAATCCTAACTGATGAGGCAAAAAAGTTGAAGCAGTAATGTTAGATAAATTTGATCTTTACATTCTTTCTTGTTTGCAGTTTTCTTGTTTTCTTGATATTTTAATAAGGTTCTAAAGTCTACACCGGAGAAAACCATACATTTTTTACTGTTAACTGGTTTTATATAAGCAGGTGCATATATTAGACCTAAGCTAGATGGACCTGTTCTTCAAGTAACAATAAAGATTTTGTACGAGGCATTTTTTCGCAAAAATCACATTGTTGATTTAAAAGGACCTAAGGGTCTAAGAGGGTCTAATTCTAGCTTGAAAAGTGTTGAACAGTGTTGTTGAAAAGTGTTGAATAGTGTTGTTGAAAAGTGTTAAACAGTATTGTTGAAAAGTGTTGAACAGTGTTGTTAAAAAGTGTTCAACAGTGTTGTTGAAAAGTGTTGAACAGTGTTGTTGAAAAGTGTTTAACAGTGTTGTTGAAAAGTGTTAAAAAGTTGAACTGAGAAGGAAGTATTGTGGAGAAATTTTTTAGGATTCATTTGAGACATATAAAACGTTTAAATGGTGTATAATTACGAGTTAGAGCGCAAAGTCGACTTTCAAAATCATCCATTTGGATGGTTATGTTTGGAAAATAGATTTTTTAAATTGTTAAATAACGACGACAAAAATGTAACACATATTCTACAATAAACCAATTAGCTGTTTAAGAAGAGGTTGAGAAAATAAAGATAAACTCTTATAATCAAAAATAAGTAATCTTATTTATTTATTAGTTTGTGTAATCTCTCATTGTACGCAAACAATTTCTGTAGATTTTCTGAAATTTTTATTGAAAAGACGACATTTGAAGAATTTGAAGTAATCTGCAAACAAGTTCATAAAGAATAGAAATTCAATATAATGATGAAAAAGAAATAATTAATTCTAACATTGATTTATTGAGAAATATGTTCCTAAACATCTAATTAGTTTACTGTAGAATTTTTTATACATTTTTGTCGTAGATAAACCGCGTAAACAATTCTGAATCACTTCTCTTTAACTTGATGAAATAAATGGTTCAACATAGTCTATTTGGTTCAACTACTTTCTCGATTTATTAAATCTAGCTCCTGTATTAACAAAAGAAAACAGATTCTTTTATGGCTTTTATTTTATTCTTTTATTCTTTTACTTAAAAAAGAAGATATGACACCAAAAATTATAAATCACCGTCAGGGGCGGATATAGGGGGGTGGCGGGGGGACATTCGCTACCCCCTTACAGATTCAGGGAGGGGCGTAGCCTCTCCATGAGATTTCGAGGCAAAAAATGTTCCCAATTTTATAAATCAGACGTGTTTTTCAATTTCAAGCTTTTTTATTTAATGGAAATCTTGACTTTCTTTTCTTCAGTTTAATTTAAAAATCAACGACAACAAGTAAATGTTATTGTTAACGATAAATTTAGGATTAGAAATTTGTAAGAAACTAAACTTAAGTTATAATATTGTTCATATCTAGTAATGTTCCTTAATCAATACTCATTTATCAAAATTGTAATATTGGTCCTAATTTTGATGCATTTAAGTATAACTAGTAATTTCATTTTGTTTTTAAATTGATAATGTTCCTATTATTGTTCCTGATCCTAATACAACTTAAATCCCTGTCCGAATCCTTTAATTTTGTTTCTAATTCCTGAACAATCTTTTTATTGTTCCTAAATCCCTGTCTTAATCCATTATTTTTGTTCCTAATTCCTGAAAAATCTTTTTATTGTTCCTAAATTCCTGTCCTAATCATTTATTTTTGTTCCTAATTCCTGAACAATCTTTTAATTGTTCCTAAATTCCTGTCCTAATCATTTATTTTTGTTCCTAATTCCTGAACAATCTTTTAATTGTTCCTAAATTCCTGTCCTAATCCTTTATTTTTGTTCCTAATTCCTGAACAATCTTTTAATTGTTCCTAAATTCCTGTTCTAATCCGTTAATTTTGTTCATTAAAGTAAAAAATCTAGTTTTTTAGTCTTTAGTCATTAATTTTGACTCCTTTTGAGTCTTTTAAGCCATAAAAAATTTCGCCTGCGGCAAGGTTTTTTTGTTCCTAAAAAAATCTTGCCCCCCCCCTCACTTAAATCACTGGATTTTTAAAAATCGCACTTTAAAGACCCTAAATATACCATTTAAAAAAGTAGTTATGCCCGGAAGAGTCAAATGTGGTGGCCCGGAAGGGGAAATAGTGGTGGCTCATGGTCGCCTGCCTTCCCCCGCTCGCAGGGTTAGGTCTTTGCAGAGACGCTTCTAACAGTAACTCAGAGTACAGAGAGACAGAGAAAAATGACAAATCCATGTTAAACGTACACACATAAGAAACTTAAGCTATGAAAGGAAATTGATGAGGATAACAAGATAATCAACAAGGAATGCCTGCATTCATCTGTCAATTTATCTCTCTGGGTCTAGGCTTGCAATGGAAAAGCTCGACTTGCACTCCTTAGAAATAGGTCTTGTGAGCCAGTTTTTAAGTAAAATCTATAACCGATGGGAAACATTTTAATATCCATCAACTACGGATCTTCCTAATGTGGAGAAGCATTAAGTACAACTATAATTTACAAGTATCCAAGATGTTCTAACACATCAGTTTCAAGAATCCAACTGTTGATAATTTACTCCTTTTTCACATTTGTCATTATTTATAAGTGGAGATAAACAAATATTTCTGACAGCTATAGCTGCTTAGTACGTCAATATAATTTACAAAGTCCATACATTCAATAATCATAAAAAGAAATTATCATCTTTCTAGAAGCGCTGCACGACATTTGATTTATTTCCATTTGCTCTATAGGACCATTAGGACTAGTTCCATCTGCTCTATTAACCATTTGCTCTTAGCCCATGAGCAACGATTGTTACAAATGCCATCTGCTGTATACGTCATTTGCTTCAATATGACTAAATATGTGATTTGCTCTATGAACATTGGTCCATTTGCGCTATTCAACTGTTGCTCTATAAACATTTTTAAGAATGTTTTGGTCTATTTTCTCTATGAGTTAACACTTAATTTCATATTTGCACTATAAACATAGTTTACAACTATCTAAGGGTGTCTCTGAAAAAAATTGTGTAACAATGCTAACATCGTTGTCTTGTGTTAAAAAGTGCTTCTGTTAGGTAAAAATCCCATAAATGAGGAGGTCGTCGATGGAACATTTTTCTCTAAAATACCGTGGTAATCATAAAAAGTAAGTATAATATTCATAAATGTACTCGGCTCTTTCCCAAAGATAAGCAATTATAAGTTTGTTTTTATGCTTTATACAACAAAATAGTATAAATTTCGCATTTCCAATGATAGGATTGGGGATTCTTTTACATTTTGAAAATCCACAAAATTTTTTATAAAATCCGCGAATTTTTGTTTTATAATGTTTTCAAAGAGAAAATGTAGGCAAATGAAATACAAGATGGCTGATCATCTCGGATTTTTCATATTGGTGGATTTGCTATTTTATAAGCTGTTCAAAAAGTCTCAATTTATAATGAGCAACCTTTTGCATGAAAGCCTGTGAAACAGAAACTCTGTTGATTACAATAATATTCCCACCTCTTATTATTGAGCAGTCTCGCCGCAATGATGAACTGTAGACAGTGTAGAGGATTCAAATTAGATTTTGCGAATTTTCCACAAAAAAATCCCGCATTTTAGTCAATTTCTACTCAAAGAAGTTCGATCTATAAGAATCAACAACTCTGTCTCCACTTCCAACATTCTCGTCTCCAACAACAAAAATTTGGCTTTTACAACGATCAAAAACCTTTTTTTTTCGAAAAATCTCAACATGATTTAAAAGGGTTTTGATGATAAATTAACTATTTGTATTAAAGTCATAATTTTATTAAAATTAAAACTTCCATTTTTGTTTTTCTGAATTTCACAAATTCCTAAACTTAAGCAGAACTATTGGTGCTTTATATATAGATAGACAAATGTATATCATTTTACATGTACGAATCTCGCTTTATGAGCACCAATTCACAAAACAAATTAGTTTTTCTGAAATACTTGAATAATAAAATACAGAAAAAAAGCACAAACTTAACATTGATCATAACTGGTTTTCTAGTTAAAAGTTTACACGCAGCACAAAGAAAAAGGAGAAAATCATCTATTTCACAAAAACTATTTTGTTTTGGGAATTGATGTTGATACAGTTTGATTCGTATTTGATACACCAGTAAAATTATATAAAATTTCTCTATTTAACCATGTTGAGATTTATTTGAAAACAGCCAAAGTCTTTTATAGAAGACCAAAATGTGGGGCGTGGAGACAGAATGGCGGAGGCATGGAGACGTAGTGAGAGGGTCCGTGTCAGTTGCGGGGCTCGTGGCGGCCCTGTGCCACACCCCATCCCTCGGTCAACCTGTTGGGTCGAATAAGACTAAGAATGTTGCAACAATTCTTTGTCTGAAGATGCAAACAGATCATTTTATTATAAGATTAACCATACACTATTTCTTTACTAATGAAAAAACAGGAGAATAAAAAAATTAAAATATATCACAGTGGTATTTCTTAGATTCACAGCCTTAGATCTAGTTAAAATAGATCTTTAACACAATACTGATATTTCTAGCTGTACAAAAAGGAAAACGGAAATTTTAGCAAACAAATGCACAATTTTGAAAAAGCTTTTTTTGGTCACAACAGTCTATCTTTCTGAGAATCCACCATCACTTGACAGGCTTGATGCTGTACTAGTGTCACCACTAGCTCGAAGTGATTCAGCTGGAGTGCTACTGCTGGAGCTGTTTCGTCGGCTGCGAGAACGTGAATTTGACCGACTGCTCGACTCAGCAGCTGGAGTGTGAAGCTCGAGCTTGAACTTAGCTGTAGCTGTCACTTTAGTCACCTGTCCACCGGAACCCGAGCTATTTGTACTCTAAAATGACAAAAAATATAACACGCAAGAAGTTAAAATATAAAAAGATTTTAATGAACAAAGGGTTAAGAAGTAATGATCTAGAAAAATTGAACTAATAATATTTGAACTTACAGATTGAGGTAAAGTGGAAGTCTCTACAGTGATATGAGGTTCAAGGAACACACTGGTTCCATTTAATGAAGATTGAACAGATCCTGGATCACCACAACCTCCACTGCTGTTGCTGCTACAGCTGTTAGTGCTGTGCTGGCTATGGCTCTCCTCTGCTATTGTACTCAGACTAAGATCAGAGTTGTGACGTCTTGGAACTTTTTGAGATCTTTGTCCAAACTTTGTAGGTTTGACAGGTTTTGCCTTAAACCGTGCTGGGGGTGTCGGAGGTGTAAGAGGAGGGAGGCTGCTACCATCACCAGAGGTCGGAATAATCTGAGCTGGAGGTCCGAGGATCACAAGGAGAACAGGGAAGAATGCGAGGCCATTGAACAGTCCAAGAATAACAAGGGCCAACAAAACAAGAAAAAAGTATCTAAAGTATTAAAATAATTAAACATGGCATAAAACAGAATGTGTATAACAACCAATGTGCTATGTTTTGACATCGTAAGAAAAAAAATGTTTTTGATGAGGCATAATTGAGGATAAACAGACCTGACAATAAAATCAAATTGTGAGAACGCCAACATGAGAACTCCGAGTAGGGTTGAGACTGCTCCGTGTATAACTGGAGCAAACATTTGTTCAAGAGCAATCAATGTTCTCCGTTCTCTATTTCCAACGCTTCCCACAAAAGCCTATATAGATTAACTGAATTAATTCAAATTCTACATACATAACAATATTTTTTAATTTAAAAAGTTGAATAAAGAACGTAATCCAAATTATTAAACTGAATTTTAAAAAAAAATAATTCGATGGGACTCAAGCTCTGTAAAAAAACATGGAGAGATCAAACTTCATATTAAAATAAACTGAGATACTTACCACTAGAAAATGAATTGTAAACTCTACACCGAGACCAACCGAGAGGATGATAATGATGGCAGGTACCGCGCTCAGTTTAATTCCAAGTATGCCCAGTGCTCCAAACAGCTCCCCAACTATACAACCGATCACAAAGGTCATCAAAGCGGCTGCCCAAGGTGACATGAGTACCAGGGAAACTACTAGGAATACTGCTAGAAGAGATGCTCCGAGCGCAATAAGAATATAACTCCGTAATCCGATATATTGTTCCCAAAAAGTGAATGGTATCCCATTTGGAAAGTTTGGGAGTCCGTTCTCTTCAAATTTGTCACAAATTTCCCTTACTTGAAGGATGGTTTCGACAACAGTGTCTGTAGTCCCTAAATTCTTCAAGAGAAATGGAATCTGCGCGTAACGAATGGGTTTTGATTTTGGTATTTTAAGATTGTAATCGGTTCTATCTGAAAACCAAGATTTAGGAGTCGGAACTATACTTCCCTGGCTAAAACTGTAAGCCATTGCATCGTTGGAATACCAAGCAGAAAGGTAATTATAAAACCCTGAGGGGTTTATCATTCCGTTAATTACTAGTCGCTCCGTCCGGAGAAGTGACTTATCCACTGGGAAATCAACATGTCCGGTCTGAACCAGGAGTTTATATGCTAGAATTCCGTCATCGGATGCATTCTTCTTCCAACCCTCCTCGTCGATTAAACCTACAGCTGCATCCTTGTCATAAGCTTCTTGAAGTCTGATAAGCCAGCTTCTGAACAAAGAAAGCCAGAACTCTGGCAAACCTCCATTATCATCCTTGATAATGTTCTGAACTCTGACAAATGAATTGTGGAAATCGTAGATCATTTGCTGGTTCTCAGGGTATTCAAAGTTTCCTTCTGTGATGGCATACATGTTGTAGAACCCAAAATATTTGTCCTCAGCCTCCAAAAACTTCCAAACAGGAGTATTTTTAGGAACCACGTCAGTAAGGTTGAGACCATCTTCTAATTTGTTAATACCCCAAGCACTGGCACTTAATAGTGCAAGTGCAATGATAATGATAATGATTTTGATGGGAGTTTGGATAATCAGTTTACCATAGTAATCTCGGGCAAACCTTGCCAATGTGAGATTTTTGGAACAAGATTTACTTCCAGTCTTTGCTTCTTTACACTCCATCAGATCTATAGAAGAGCTTTTTTCTCCAGGACTATCTCCCGACCAAGATGTAAAAACCTCACCCTTCCGGCATTTAGATTCATTCTTTTTATTATTTTCCTCCTCTTCAGCTACACCCACACAGCAAAGAATGTCGTACTTGTTTGCGAACACTCGTCGGACATCTAGAGCTATCATGGCAGGAAGAAGAATGATAACAGAAAATAGATTCAAAGATATCAAGGTGGCTGCCTAGAAACAGAAAATAAATTAAATTTTGGTAAATTTAAGTAAAAATTTGCTAAATTATTGATATTGTATGATAAAATACCTGGAAGCAAAAAGAGCGCATGGCTGGTATTGGAATGATAGTAGCGGCGAGAAATGCTGCCACATTGCAAAACGTTGTCGCTAACACAGACACTCCACTTTTTCTTAACACTTCGCCAACTTGGTCCTAGTAACGTAATTGTTAAAGGTTAATTACACATAAGAAATGCAACTTGGTCCTAGTAACGTAATTGTTAAAGGNAGAAAAAGGAGGTTAAAGGTTAATTACACATAAGAAATGCAACTTGGTCCTAGTAACGTAATTGTTAAAGGTTAATTACACATAAGAAATGAAAATTGGCAAAAAATTGATGGGGCATTATTTGGTCGAATTGAATGTTTAAAAATATAACTTTTTACAGCCGTTCGTTATTTAGCTAAAAATAAAACAGAATGTTTTTAACGCCATATTTTACTTTATTTTTGTAAAGTTACCGTTCAATAACGATTTAGTAACGACCTAAACGGAAGAAATTTCGGAATTGTTAATGGTGACAGCCGCATCGCAAATAGCGCCACAAACTTATTTCGTCCGTCCACACCTTTTTTCGTCCGACATTGTTTATATTCATTTTTAATGTTTTAAATCTTTTTATTCAAATTTATAAATTGCCACGTCATGATATTTTTAATGGGTTAGAATATTTTATTAGTTTTTTTTAAAGAACATTTTATGACTATATAGGTACCACAGGCATAAAAAAGTTATTGAAATTTTTATTTGAATATCCTTTAAGCATTTGATAAATAAAACTACAACAATTTAGGGGAACTCTTTATTATAAGTTGTAAATCCTTATTAGCCTAAATGCTATGATAATGGAGTATAAATCCCTCTCTATCAAATAATTATTATGAATAAAAAGTTTTTCTCGGGAACAAAAAAACTAGTAAAAATATCACTTCATTTGATTTGCATCTATTTTATCGATCTGAGAGGTATGTAAGTAGTGCAATAGGTCGGGGCAACGAGGGTACTGAGTACTGATACTGTCACATCACGACAGTTAGATAATTTTCTTGGAAAAAGTATAAAATGTTATTAATTGCGTAATGAACTGTATTACATATTTAAAGCGTGATCTGAACGAAAAAAAGGACTTTAATAAAAATTTATATTTTTTTCGACAAATTTTGCAATGTTAACACTACTGTGTAAATGAGCTCTATTAGATTTAACCAAGGTTAATGGCACTAATAGAGACCAGAAAATTATGATAGACAACGCATAGTTCAGAAACATGAAAAATAAATTTAAGGGGCCTTTAAAATTCAAAAAGAAAAATTCCTTCTCTAAAATTCTGACTAATTTAATGACTTTGAAAGGAAATCTTCACGACAGAAACAAATCTTAAGAACTGAAGAGGCCGAATCATATATTTGGGGAGAGGGGTGGAGTCCTCCTCTTTCCTGATAAAAGCGTATCGTGTCAATAAATAAAATGGGGTCTGCATGGTAAATTGTTGTACACTGTAATGTACATGAAAATTGCTGGAGTTCATTTGTTCCATTTAAGATGTATATATGAGAGGACCAATTTGGACCACCCACATAAGGGGTCAAATATGGCCATAGGCCACTAATAATTGGCCACCCAAAAAGATTTCACATAGGTCACCGCCCTGCCAAAAACCCCTACTCCTAACCTNTACTCCAAGCCCTAGAGCCAGGAATGGAACTATCTGAGTACTGCTAGGGGGGTCATATTCGGGTATTAAATGCTTTTAAGATTGAGCGAAAACCGTGTTCAATATTCGTTCCATTATTGACTTCTTTTTTATTAACAATCTTAAAAAAAAACGTTTACAAGCATGATAATAGCCTAAATACAAATAAGAATTACCCGTTAAAGAACGTAGAAAACGACAAATTTGAGCTGGAGCCATAAAACTGTGGCATATGAAGACGACATCTTATGGGCATTTGATGCTGTTTTAAAGCAAGTAGTGATACGTACAACTTGAAAATTAACTGAACTAGATTAGATCTGTGTACACCGCACAATTAAAAACTTAAATGTTAGACAGTTGTAACTTCTATGGACCAATTAAAGAAAGTTGAACTCAAAAATTTTATTTAAAATTACCAGGGTGAAAGATTTGCCATAATTTATTCCTAATTTTTCTTTACTTATCAAACGAGACGCCATTAACTCCAAGAAATGGTCCTTTACATCAGAATTTGCAGACTGACCTCTGAACCCCCCAAACAAGCTCCAAACCACGCATTTTGGCGCGCTCCCCCTTTTCATTTATATTTCATTTGACTTCTGTGACCGGGCCCGAAAAAAATATGTAATATCAATTGGACAAATGATCGATTGGACTAACGTTCGTTTGAACTAATGTTCATTTGGACAAACGTTTAAAAGAACTAAAGCTATTGAATGATTTAAGGCTAAGGTCCAGCCATTTTTGAATACTGAACATGTCAATTAAATATGTCGATTTAAAAGTGTGAATCAACAGAGAAAGTGCAAAAGTGCGAATTTTAGAGCTTGTTTTGCAGGGTTCGGAGGCTATTCTGCTAATCCGGTGGATTGGAGACCATTAACCGGGGTTAATAAAGTCCCTAGGTCTGCACCCCTCCATCATCATACTAAAGGTGTTAAACAGGTTTAAAGCTTAAAACAGTATGATTGTACGTGGATGCAAGGACGCGCGCTATTGAGCATACAGGAGGTTTTAAAGATTAGACCACCCAACAAACTAAATGTAGTGTAACGGTTATATCTAATATCTATATATTTTTTAGCTGTACTTTAATATTTATGGAAAACAAACTAACGAACTTCTAATACCTAAAAATTTGAGATTTTGCAATAATATTCGTAATATAAATCCTACCTTGCAGGGTATGTTAATAGCTGTTTGAGAAGAGAATGTGTGTATGAGAAGGAAAAGTGAATCTACTCCAAGCCCTAGAGCCAGGAATGGAACTATCTGAGTACTGCTAGCATTAAACACTAGTCCTGTTAGGCCCGCTAGACCCATACCAGCCGCTACTGTAACTGAAACCAAGAGAACACCACATACACCTAGACCTGCATGGGAACGAACCTTCTCACCCCATCTATACAGGGTGACTCCAGCATAAACAACCTTAAAAACATTCAGATAAAGGGGTATCTACAAATTTTAAAAAAAATAATATTTTAAATAATAAGTTTGAAAAAAAAAAACAAGGGGATATTAAGTGGTTGTTAAGATTTTTAATAGTAAAATAAAATTCTCATGTCCTATACAAGGAATATAACAAAAACTCCCATAAAAAACGTACTGCAGTTTCTGGGGGAAATATAAACATTAAAAATGCTGGCCATTAAAGTTCACAAAAACTTACCATAATAGTATAACCAGCGACCATGTTAGTGATAGAACCAGTTGAGAACTTATTCATAAGATTCTTCAGAGCTAGAGAGGAGTAGGAATTGAACTCATACTTCTCCTTCTCGAATTCTTTCTCCACCTCCTCCTGGAACCTCTCCTGGAACTCCTGTAGGATCTCCTGAGCTGTCTCCAGATTCCAACGAAGTGTATGGACCTTATATGTGTTGGACCAGTAGTCCAGCATATCCCTTGGTCCCATAAGCTGGACAACAGACTGTAAAGCACCGATCTCTCGGATATACCCGCTCTTGTTCTTTTGAGCACCTCCGACCACTAGCTCCTCCGGCCACCTCATGTATCTAATAGTGTGGTTTTATAGAAGTTTACTGTTATCGCATATTAAATTATAACTTGCTAAAACATATATGGCCAAAACAACGCAAAAGGCAGACATTGCAAACGTTATTTTATCGTTTACACTTTTGAATTAAAAGATGATTTAAATTTTGCCTCTACTCAAAATTGATTTTGCCTCTACTCAAAATTGATTTTGCCTCTACTCAAAATTGATTTTGATTTAAAAATCTCAAAAAATATTTTTGTCTTAGCAAAAGATATTTATATATTTATATATATTATTATTGTTATTGTTATTGTTATTGTTATTGTTATTGTTATTTATTATTATTATTGAAAATTCTATTCGAAACTCAAAAACTCCTTTTTATAAAAATTGAAATTGAAGTTTATTAGGTGACAAAGATTTACAAAAAGGTCATGTCGACTTTTGAAGAACTAGCTTTCAGCTTTGCGCCCATTGTGAACATTTTCCAATTGTGAACATTTTCTCTTTGTATAGTATGTACTATGTATATATTGTAAAACAAAACTAACAAAAACAAAAAAATAGTTCGCGGATTTTGTAAAAAGAAATCGTAGACTTGTTTTTCCCCTATCTGTTTATAAATACAAATATGAGGCTAATATTGTTTTAATGAAGTTCTTCGGACTCAAATTTTGTTTTATCCCACCATTGTAACAAACAAAAAATGGCATCATTTTTATTAGGGACAGACACAAAAAGCTATTACACTTTTGTGGCTTATTGGCAAAAAAAAAAACACTTCTTGCATTTTTACAAATAGATATTATCTTGCCGCACGGAAAAAATTATGATTTTAAAACCATTTATTCTTCTGTCAGGTAACTAAAAAATGTTAAACATTGCCCTAAAATATTTTTTAAATTCTTTTTTTTTGGAAGAAAAAAATTAAGTAAAGAACCTATACAAATTTGTTCGAAAAAACTTTGTGCGATGAACATTTATATTTTATCTTTAAATATGATGTCTTTTGAGTTTTAAAGTTTGGGAAAGGTAATCTATATATTTACTTTGCTTGTATGTCTGTCAGTTTGTATCCAATAAATGTCAAAACGGCTGAACCGATCGGGCCCACATTTTTTGTGGGATCTCGCGTAACCCAAGGGGAGGTTTATAGATGGTCAAATTTTCAAAAATATCAAATTTTTGAAAATTTTGAAAATCCACGAATTTTATTTTATAAAATCCGCGACAATTTTTTTTTACAATTTACACAAAGAGAACATGTTCACAATGGAAATGGAAGATGGGCACGAACCGCACTAACAGCCTAGTTTTTTATAAATTGCATAGTGGGAGATGAAATTATAATCCAGGAACCGTTACAAAGCGAATGTATATTTTACCTTGTAGCAAAGCTAGAACAACCTCCAGTAAGTTCTGCTCCTATATCTGGAGCGGATGTTTTGTTCTTGTTAGGAGCACTCAATGGACAACCAGGGTCCAAGGGATTCAAGCAAGGCTTTTCCTTCACAACAGGATTTATGGCACATTTAAATTAAAATTTAATCAAAACATTGTTTTATGTTTATTGGCGAGTCTATGACTCATGATTTTATTATGAATTCAATGGACAAATAATAATTTAAATCTTCATAAATATATGCTTGGATTGAGCATTCCCCCCCCCCATATTATTTTGAACTTTGCGTGAAGAGTCAAATTAGGGTTTAGTTCAGAAATCAATAAAAAATATTACCTGGTATCCTGAATTGATCCCAGCATCCTTCATGAACCTCTGAAACTGGTTTAGGCGGAAGGTTGGGAAAATATCCGCCATTTTGTTAAAAAGTTGAGTCGGGTTTAGTGTTGGCCATGATACTCCCATACTACCCTCGTCTCCTCCCAGCCTAAAATGATAGATTAATCATTGAAGAAAACACAGGGTGGATCTACAGTCGTATTGAAAAGGAACGAGCAAAATACAGTCATAACCAATAAGAAGGGGAATGCAGGTCGTCCTTGTTCAATCTTAGTCAGTAAAAAAGCTCAAGATTTTGTAATTAGTATTGATGATGGCAAATTTTCCGAGGTATAACGGAAACAAAAAAATTGGTGCCGTTTCTAAGGTGTCAAATGATTTGGACTAATGTTCTTTTGGACTAATGATAGACGAATTTTCAAAAAGATTATATTAAACTATATTAAAGATTATATATAAACTATTTGTTTAATTGAGCTAATTTTTTTTGTTAAATTATATTTTAAATTTTGATAAAACATAATTTTTTTTATTTCCAATTGAACGTTAGTTCAATTAGATAAAAGTAAAATCGATAAAGCATTGCTTTTAACTCAAAACTTTTTAGAGACGACTTATCATAAATATTAAGAAAACGATAAGCAGAACCCTTAAAAATAAGAAAAAGCATGAAGGAAAAAATTTACGAAGGAAGAGAATAAATCGAAGGAAGGAGAGGTTGGAAGGAAGAACAGGGTGGAAGAAATAGATATAGAATGATGTAAAAGGAAGGAAGGAAGGAAGGAAGGAAGGAGAAGTCTGGTGTATTATTTTGAAAGGTTAAATTAATCCCACGGGACGGACAAGGATTGGATACTTTCTTAAACACATTTCCACAAGGGGGGAAATATAACGACAGATGTACGTGAGAAAGGGGAGTAACGGAGTACAAGGGGAGGGAGGTTCTTCATGCTTTCAATATTCATCTCTGATTGCTACCCCCCCCCCCCTCTACCTCTCCTTCCTTATTACTGAACCACTGTCCAATTAGTACAATAAACTCGTTGTTCAGGACAGGTCCGTAGCACAAGCTTGGTTCAATAGGCGTGGCATAAGCTATAAGAGAAGGATTAAAATTCTTGAATTTAAACCGAAAAAGGAAAAAGCTCAAATCGTTAAAAAACATATTGTTCCTATTGATAATACAATTGGTGCTTGGATATATTCTTCCATATCTATGTGATATATAATTGATATATTTTAATGCTTTATTCTAATTAAAAATGTACGAAATATGTGTAAGAAAATACAAGTATTTATCTCTGGACAAAAAAAAACTTTTATCTCAGGAATCGTGAACCTGGAGTAAAAATGTAGTACACCCATTCTTTCAAAATTAATCAAATGAAATTAAAATGTTGACAATGAGTTAATTTTTCTGCACATTTTTCAAAAGTCACTTAAATTTTCCTGGATTAGTACAGACTACAGACTACCTTCCCAAGAAGAGAACACTCTAATTACGACCCCCCACCTAGTCGGAGGAGTCGGAAACCCAAGATGATAGCGAGACCACACGCATTGATATTTAAATGTGTCACACAGACGGCAGAATAAGAATCACCGTACCGCACTGCCCGCCTATTGGTTCACAAACCCAAATTAAAAATTTGTAGATACCATTAGGGACGTCCAAAGGGAGGGGGGGGGGGGTCTATGGACATATTTTTATAAACGTCTGGCTCTGGAAACCATTCAAATACAAATCAAAATGATATGTTAGTGATAAATATTTCCCAGCTGAGAGAAAAGTAGAGTTTTCGTACCCTTCTCCCAGGCCCGTAGCAAGGATTTTCCTCAGAGGGGTGTTGGAGAAAAAACATATCTCCTCTAAAAAGTGTAGGTGTTTGGTTGGGGGGGGGGGGCACTCCCCCCCCTTCGTTAAAGATTCAATTTAAGTTATTAAATCCTCTATGTAGATATTAGTACTAATTTAATTAAAACGTGTTTTAAACTTTTAGATCGAACAGATGGTAAAGATATACTTTTACATTAACCAGTCTAAGTGATAAAATTGAATAGATAAGGCTAGCTCCTGATAACTCTTAAATGAAAGTAGGTGGAACATTTTAAATATGCAGAGAAGCGAAGCGCGCAGCTAGACTTCATTAACAATTGAATAATGTCTTCCGTTTAGGTTTTGACTTTTGAGCCATGTGAAAATCATGAAAGAGAATTGGGAATGACTTAAGAAATAAACTCAGCTTGACAATTGGTTGAAAACCTATAAAAATAACAAATTATGTTGTCAATGGTTGACACTGGCAAAATTGTCGGCTCCTTTCAGGTATTAGTACAACTTATTCAGTTCAGGATACCCTCTCTATTCCCATGGCTAGCTCGTAACAAATTTTGGTGCAGATCCGAGAACTTTGAAAATTGGAACTCAGGTCTATGATTGAGAGGCAAAGTAATCAACTATTCTATATAGAGATGAATTTCTATTATGGACAAAGCATAATGTGAAGAAAAAAATCAGATTTTGGATGGACATCAAGAGAAATGTTAAAAAGTAAAGGAGCGCGGGAATTCCTGTGTACAAAAGCAAGGTTACAAGTACCAATCAAATGAAAGGAATTGAGATACAGAATATGTGGTTTGCGGTTGGTAGAAACTATTGCGCATTGTACATTTTTATAAGAAACAACATGTCAATCAAAACTAGAGGAGCTACGAGGTCCCAAAGTGGTACCAGTTTTATGTCGCATAAATTTTTCATTCTTGTTCTGTCAATAGTTTGCACTGAATAGCTTGGTTTAAAACATCACAATCACCCTGAACTAACCTGCAGAGAGAGAAGCATTCGGTTTCTTTTATTTGAAATCAAACGTGCTTTCGTCTATAACTCAACAGTCTTTAAACTTACAGATCTGTTTATTTTAATACATTTTCATTCAAAATGTATATGCCAACAAAAAATATTTAAGATAAAAGGCTATAAAATTATGTAAAAGGGGTCAAATTGTGATCGAAAGTCACAGTTTTCTGAAATATTGACCGAACCGTTAAATCCACGTGCAATATATTTATCATGAATGTAATCTCTGTTTGTCTGTCTGTTTGGTTTGGATATCCGACCATAACTCAGGAACCATCTAACCGATTTGTCTCAATTTTTATTGTGGAGCAAGGTAAACCATGGAGATTAAATAGTGAAATCATTATTCTTAAATATTCATCAAAAAAAACTATATCATCTCGAAACTTTAAATTACTGCCGTTTCCAAATAGTTCTAAGTAAATTGAATGTAAAAAGCAGTGCTTAGGATCCGGATCCGTATCCGGATTTGGATCTGGATCCATTTTTTCCAGTGCGGATCCAGGATCCGGATCCGGATCCGGATCCGGATCCGCATCAAAATTGAATGGATCCTAAGCACTGGTAAAAAGACCGCAACACTAGGTTATAGCCACAGAAACCGAGTTCATTGTGTATTACTGAATTTGGCGTATTCCAGAGTACACTCAATTTGCCCGGCCAACCTGGACTGACCGGGGCGAGATACATTCGGTTACTTCTTTTAGAATTTAACAACGTTTTTGTTCATAATTCAACATTATTTTACTTTTTCATTTAAAAAGCATATGCAGACAAGAAAATTAAAAATTAATAAGGTAAAAAAATGATTGTTAAATAAGTCAAATCGTGATAAAAAATCACAGCTATGCTTTAATAAGGACTGAACTGTTAAATTCGCATACCACCCTTGTTATATATGATATATATATATATGTATGTAAATCTGATATATGTCTGCTGTGAACAAATAAAACTAAGTAAAATTAACTTACGGTACATAGACTGGAGAATCAGGTCCTAGCAGTTTACTTCCTTCCCAGAAGCAGTCCAGTGGTGTAATAATGGCGCAAGGGAAAAGTTTGTCTAGGATCTGTTCTACAAATTGTAATTCGGTCTGTGGGATGGACGGTTTGTAGCACAGATCAGCTAGTTGCCAGGTACTGAAATAAGTTTCAAAATTTAACATTTCTCAAAATTAATATTAATTATTCATAAAAACTAACTTACATGTCATCCTTCTGTACTGTAACTCTTGATGCACGTTTAAGAATCTTGAGATGATGAAGTAAGGAATCAGCACTCAATAGATTACTTCCCTTGCCTGTCTGTATCAACATCTGATTCACCCCTCCAGCACCCTCACCCAGGGTCGAGTCCATATATTCCATTTCCCTCGCCACCCGACCACCCTCAACCACCCACAGTCGGTCTATCCGGTCCTCCACCTTTACAGATTTGAGGCCGATTGTCAAAGAGGACAGAAGGAGGAGGCCGGTAAATAGAACCTTACCAGCATGCACCTTAACACAATAAAAATATGTTAAGATATATTCTACTACAAATATATGCGACTTGATGTTTAATTATTTAATTATTTAATTAAATAAACAAATAAACAGCCCCACCCCCCACTAATAATTTTGATCCAACATATTGATTTTCTAAAGATAAAGAAGAGACGTTCATGCACGAAAGGTTTTTTTTTCAGAGTATTTTGAAGTTGAGCTAAAATTACTAAAACGCAATTTTCTATGTGACCTTTAGATATCATTAAATTTGAGCTAAAATGGCCAGTTTTAATAATAAACTTCAATAAAAATTGTCTTTGAAAGATATAATAATCATCAAATAAAAGATTACTAGAAAACGTTAAATTAAATGTAAAGCTAAGTTTAAGCATAATGATATAATATTTGAAAATGTAAAGAATCATGAAATCAAGCTAATATGACTAGTTCGCTTTCATCGGTGTAAACAAACAATAGAATTTAAGATTTAAAAAAAACGTATAAACCTGTATAATGTTTCCTAGTTGAAACATTTCTTCCTGAATTTTGCTTCGAACCCATAGGCCAGCATGGTTACCGCTAGCACGTCCCTGAACAAAAAAAAGGTTAGTATTATAAACTTAACACATAAAACATAAACTATATTGGTTTTCATTAAATGTTTCGGTGCAACACTCGGTTTATTGCAAAGGGTGGGAAAATTGAGGGAAAGTTGAACGGAAGTCCCCCCTGGATAAAATTTGAGGTGCAACTAGGTAGGGAAAGCAGACTATGTCTCCATTAATTAAAATGTTAAGAATGGATTTTTAAAAATTTTGCTTTGGGTAAAAAATCCCCTAGAAAAAAATTCATATTTGAAAACCGTACCCCCATCTATAATACATATTTTACCATATTCACTACTTCAAAATACAAGAGAGATAAAATCTCTATTTTTTCTTATTTTATCTTTATTTTTTGAAGAATGTACCAAGAGGTTTATAATTCCTGGGGGTTTACAGGGTGTCTCACGAGTCTCACAAAACATAACAATAGAAAGGTTATTGACACAAAAGTTTAAAAAAGAAACCTTTAATAGTTGGTTACAATTTTTAAGTGTCAGCAGTGACAAAACTGTCAAGTGTCAATATCAAGATTTAAGAATTTCGTTCAGATTTCATGATTAAATAAATCTAAACATGTCCCAACTGAACAAAATTCTTCGGTAATATTGTTCAAATGTTTAAAGCACAAAAAAGGCAGACCACATTTTGGAAATACTAGGGGTATTCGTATTATTTAAAAGATCAAGGCTTGCTATTGTAATGTTTAGTGAGACACCCTGTTGAAGAGAGAATTTTGGCGGAGTTGTAGAGGGGGTGGGGGGAGTCGCAGAGGAGACCTGCACACAGGGTCAGCGGTGAGGAAACTGGCGCGGCCCGAAACATTAAACATGGCCGCTTTGTAATGTCTTAATTTACACTCTGTTTATAATTTTCTTACCTTTTCCATATGTTTCAGCGCAACACTGGCATTAGTATAACTTGTTCGATCTAAAAGGCCTGGATCTGAAACTGATGTACTCCGTAGCTCAGGCGTTTTCCCGCAAACTGCCGACTGATCAGAAAGGCGTGTCGAATGCGTTTTTTGAAAACTACTAGATTTTGCCATGTTCACTTTATTTAAAAATAGCTTCGAACAATGTATGCTCTCACTTTTCCCGTATTATCATATTAATTGCTGCGCTGATCAATGTTGAAAGCATAAACTAAATCTATCTGTCTATCTGAAAGCTCCGCGTTGTGCTATGTCACAAACTTAACTGAATAGTGTATACTAGCTGCTAGAGTAAGTTTATAACCGGGGCTGTAAGGTGAGGGTGGGACTGGGTGACCACCCAGAAAAAGGACCACCAAAGTTTTAACTTCGCCATTCTGACTTCTCTGATAGATATATCAGTATACATAGAAACCCCCCATAGGCAACGGGATCCCTCATCGTAAAAAAACATGAACATTTATTTTTTAATTTACAGATATACATTTTTTCTTACATACAAAATAAAATTTTAGTTTGGAATTCCCGAGAAGATGAGTTTCAGTTGCTATAAGCTGTTTTAAGTGGGATATACGACAGTCCATATCATATTAGATTATTCCTTAAGCTTTATAACACCAAAATAAACATACAATATTCGTAAAACGTAGCATTTCGACTGGAAGAAAATTTTTATGTAAGCCTTATTCAATTATTTCAAAATGATTTATTCATCTTAAATTTTCGGATTAGTCCCGGTGTGGCGTTACTTTTTGGCCATCGTTAAAAAATTGCCATAGTCTCTACGCAACAGTATTTCTGCGCACATTTTCTAAATGTAAACAACGAATTAATTGAAATCAAACATTTATCTTAAATCGAAATATCTTGAATTAATTTAGATTAACTAACACATGCTTTATTAATGATAAATACCTAACGTTTCTCCTATCATATAGCCGTATACTGACAAATGGACGCTTTCGTATTGGGAGCCTCATATATGTATGAAATGATTTTATATAATGTGGAGTAAAATTAAAAATGTTATATTAAAAGGCAACTTAATTCATTCTTTTACAATAATTTTTAAACAAAAATTCATGCAGCAAGTAAAACCTTAAATAATTTGATGGTGCTACGGGCAAACAAACATAACTTCTGTGAAAAAAAAATGTTGGTAATCTAAAAAAATAATAGGAAGTTTTTCAGCCTTTTTAATTCTTTTCACTAAAAAATTCAGCAGCTAAAATCCTAAAAAGCGTTTTAATACTGCGTTTAAACAAACCTGACTTCTATAGAAAAAAAATATTTATTATTAACTGGGGGAAAAAATAACTTCTATATATAAATTTGGCTTGTCTGTCTGTTTGTCTGTCTGTTTGTATCCAATAAACGTCAAAACGGCTGAACCGATCGGGCCCAAATTTTTTGTGGGACATCTAAGGACCCCAGGGAAGGTTTATGAATCATCAAAATTTCAAATATTTGTCTCCATCAAAATTCGATCGTCATTAAATTTTTTAAAATTTTGAAAATCCGCGAAATTTTTTGTGAAAATCCGCGAATTATTTTTGTTTTGTTTTACGATGTACACAAAGAGAACATGTTCACAATTAATTTAGGAGATGGGCACGAAGCGCCCTCTAAGGCTAGAAAGAAGGGCGCGAAGCGCCTTGAATTTCTAGTTATATAAAAAGGCATATATTTATCCTTTTATTACAATTCATACCCAAATATTCAGCAAATGTGTTTTTGCTACTTCGCTAAAACTCATCTAATTTCTGGGGGAAAGTTTTTTTTAATATAGGGGGAAAGACTTGTCAAGAAAAGAACTAATTATTTTGCCCCAAAATCAAATTTACTAATCCCTATTTCTTTGAAACCTGATGGGGTAAACCTTATTTCAAACTTAGGCTTTTTCATAGTTCATACGACATCAGGTTGCCCAGATTTTAATTTAGGAGTTTTTGGGAAAGTCTCATTTCCTTTGCTCCTCTGATATAATAATCAACAAATAAATGTTCTAAACCAAGCAAAGCCAAAGTATGAAAGATTCTTTAATATAGATTAAAAATAATCAGTACTTTTTTCAAAATAGGGGGTTTTAGGGGGCACAAAAACTTCTAGGGTGTGCAAAAAAAATGTCATTAATCATTTTAATTTTTATGGTTTGAATTATATGAAAGATATGGAAAAATGTGTAGTGAAGTTTATAAGCGTTGACTTACGGCCGTATTTTCAGAAAATCAAACATAACATGAATTATTCTGATGAAAATTTTTCCATAGCAAGCCGATCAAAGCGTTAGTAAAAATCCGAATTTATCGAGTAATGTTCCTTGTTCCATACAGTCATAATCAGAGAGACCCGAAGTTAGTTTATAATTGTTCAGACAACTTTACCAGGCCCGTATCCAGGATTTTCCCAAGGGGGGTGCAAAGAGGGGTGTTCCAGAATGGGCTCTGGATCACCTAGTGAAACTTAGTGAAATTGATGTTATGTTACTTGTAAAAGAAAATTTTCATAATTTAGTTTTAAGCTCAAATTTTACAATATTGGAAGACAGAAAACGTTGATTTTGATTTTGATATCAATACTCACGTTCACAGATTTTTAATTGTCTGGACAAAAGGCTATGTTTCTGCAAAATTGAAAGAATTGAATTTTTGATTCAGATACTGGACCATTTTTGTTACAATGCGTGTATGACGTATGTATATCGACATAAGCTGAAACAACAAACCAGTTCACTCTAAAATCTTACCTCAGGACAAATATTTTTCAAAAAAGGTTTAATTTGGTTGGGAACAGCTTTGTAAAGAATTGTTCATAGCATGTAAACTAATTACTTTACACTGTATAGTATAACAGAATGATAACAAATTAACAAGCAACTTATTTAGAAAAAGGAGGGGCTGCAAATTCGTCAGTGCACCCCCTTCCCTCCTTTTATGAGAAAAGGGGGTGCACCTGACCCCTTGGACCCCCCCCCCTGGCTATGGGCCTGGACTTTACAATCTAATTATACAAATATGAAGCGATATGAACAAAAGTCCTGTCAATTCCAAAATGTGGTCTGCCTGCCATTATTGTGGGTTTAAAAGTTTAAAATTACACCAGAGCCATATATGTAAAACTGTACTATAGCTATATATAAAGGAATTGAGTCTTTGGAACAAAATCAAATATTAAAACCACAATATCTTCAGAACTCGATGTTGTAAACCTTTGATATTTCAAACTCAGATTATTTGATCTAACAAAATTCATAGTTTGAAATATCTAAGGTATGTAACATTTGGTTCCAAAGATATAGTTATTAGAAAATCAGAGTTTGTGGCTAAGACTCAATTCCTTTGTCTTGTTTGTTTGTCTGTATCCAATAAACGTCAAAACGGCTGAACCGATCGGGTCCAAATTTTTTGTGGGACATCTATAGGGACCCCAGGGAAGGTTTATGAATGATCAAAATTTCAAATATTTGTCTCCATCAAAATTCGATCGTCATTAAATTTTTGACAATTTTGAAAATCCGCGAATTATTTTTGTTTTTGTTTTACGATGTACAGAAAGAGAACATGTTCACAATTAATTTAGAAGATGGGCGCGAAGCGCCCTCTCAGGCTAGTACATTTATATCAATGTAACAAATATGTTCTAGTATGTATCAAAAATTCAATTCTTTGAATTAATTGCAGAGACATTGTCTCAGTTTTAAAGTTTTAATATCTTGTCGCAGACAATTTAAAATCAGTGAACGATAGTAGTAATATGAAAATAATCAACATTTTCTTTTATCCAACATTCAGCTAAAACCTAAATTATGAAAATTTTCTGTGTATCATACAAAACATCAAAAATCGAAATTTCTTTTTTTTTAAACTGAATTACAGTATACAATTAAATTTTAAAAAAATTCTGTTCTTTCCTCTGAGTCTGAGTTCAGTCATAAAATCTCTAATGTATTTAGATTATCGTACTTCAAGTAAACTTCTCCCGAGGTCCCATGTGCAGGAAGATTAAAATGTTCTCCTGCTCAAGGCTGGTTTGTATCGAGATTTCTAATGTAACCAATAGTAGAGAAGATTATAAGGATAGATAAGATAAAATACTCTAAAAATAGATGCGTAAGTATTAAGTAATAATGATCTACGCAAAGTAGAGTAGACCTTATTCTACGTACGGTACAGTACAATTCTATATCTTGAGTACATTATAGCAAATAGGTTGTCAAGTACAATAGATGGCAACAGAAAAATCGAACAACTGCGCACAACGTCATATGTGTCAAATGAAAAAGAAAGACGACATGTCCTCTAATTAGTTGGTATTATTTCCAAGATTCGGTGGAGGTAAATGTCGTCTTTGTAGGAATACGTAAAAAATATTTACAACTCAAAATCAGATGGAGTATTTTTACTGTCATTTGGTGGCTTAATTTTTTCACTGTATATCTATGTAAACTAAATAGTTTGAGGGAGGGGGGGGGGCGTCCAGGCCACAGCCCTCTAATTAGAATTAAAGT